AGCTGGTGATCGAATGTATGAGAAATGGAATGCCATGGTTGATCCGATTTGTGAGTATGGAATCAGGATGTGCCCACTTTGGAAGGAAATGCTTGACTTGTCAGATAGCACAGACTTAGTGTCTTTGACTACAGGTAAATAAAATCTGACATTTTATTGAAAGCACATTCTAAACATGGTTATGATTCATGATTACATTGCTTTGTTTTGAGACTTGTTATTATGCAGAAAATTATTTGATATATTTATATTTTTCAACTCATTTCATTACAACAGGTTAGAAATTATCCCTAATTTAAAGTCAAATATGCCAAAGCATGTTCTCTAAGTAGCAAAATGTGTTGTAAAAAATGTGTCACTAGTTTTGTCACTGCTTGTCCTGCTGTTATCATGGTCTCTGTGTTTAAATGCATTTCTAAACTTTAAAATATGTCAGCAATTGAAATTTTGCATTTTGGATGTAAAAAACCCCAAAATTTTAAGAATAACAAAAAAACAAAAAAAAAAAATAATGTGGGCTCGAAAAATGGTGAGGAAGGAGATGGGAAACAAGGAATTTTTGTTATTTGGCCCAAGAATTGTTGTACTTGGCAAAATGTAAATTTGTGTTTTCCTGTTTTTATTTCCAGCAAATAATTAATGTTCAAGCATACGTGGATAGTATAAATCCAGAAACATACCGACAACCATTCATATTGGCACTTGGAGACTAAGTACATCCATCGGACCAGTTCATAATAATCGAAAATAAGGTCATTCAGCAGCCATCTCTTTTTAAAGCGGTGGATGTGTGTTATAAATTGCACTATGTACCGTATTAGATTGTAAATACCAGGAAAAATGCAGATGGGTATGGAAGTTCTTCGAAAGTTGTGTCTTCAGCCAATCGAATGAAAAATGAGAGAGTGCATCCTTGAGAGCCACGAGAGCATATTTAAAGTTTAGAAATGTTCTGTAGATGAATATAATGTGCCAAGTAAAATAACCTCAGAAAAACGTGAGCAGTGCTTTAGAATAGGCTATCAGCAGTTTGGTTGTTCATTTAGGCCTATGTAGAATCTCTCGTTTAAAAAAAATTTCAATAAAAAGTTGGAGAAATAATTTTATAAAAGTGTCTTCTAATATTATTAATGTCGAAATGCCTAATAACATCCATCCACATGTACATGCATTTTCACCAATAAATTGGCAAAGGCAACCATTAAAAGACAACTGATTAACCAATAGATGGTAATGAACAGCACCCAGATGTTGAGCAACTGATGCTACCCAAACCTTGGAAAAAGACAATTAACCAATAGATGGCAATGCACAGTACCCAGGTGTTGGGCAAAATAAATGACCAGATGTTAGTAAAGGACAGTTTCCCAACAGTTTTGTAAACATGTTTACCAAATAGGGTTGGGCATATATTGCCCAATAGATGATGAAGCTGACTATTGTACCAGCGTTGGGTATAATGTTGGGCAATTTTTTGCCCAACGTTTTTACAGTGTATGGGGCCCGTGTAGATTGAACATGGGCATGCCAATATGTATTTTCAAAGATATTTGGCACATGGGTCCCATGTGGAGTATATAATGGGCCCCATGTGGAGTATATAATGGGCATTCCCTTAATTATCTGCCCAGTTATTTGACATGGGGGGCCCATGTAGATTGAACATGGGCATGCCAATAAGTATTTTCCTAGATATTTGGCACATGGGTCTCATGTGGAGTAAATAATGTGCATTTCCTTAATTATCTGCCCAGTTATTTGACATGTGGGGCCCATGTAGATTGAACATGGGCATGCCAATATGTATTTTCCCAGATATTTGGCACATGGAACCCATGTGGGTTAAATGTGGGCACTCCCATAATTATATGCCCAGTTATTTCTCATATGGGTCCCATGTAACTGCCCATGTATTTGGCATATGGGCTCCATTTGGATTAAATATGGGCTTCCCATATTTACTTGCCCAGGTATTTGGCATATGGGTCCCATGTATATTATATGTGGGCAGCGCATGCCCATAAGTATTTTCCCAGATATTTGGCACATGGGCCCAATGTGAAATTAATATGGGCATACCATGTTCAACTACCCAGGTCTTTAGAATGTGGGCCCAATGTTGATAAATATGGGCATGCCAATATGTATTTTCCCAGGTATTTAGCACATGGAACCCATGTAGATTAAATGTGGGCATTCCCATAATTATTTGCCCAGTTATTTGGCATATGGGTCCCATGCAAATTAAATATGCACATGCCCATATGTAACTGCCCATATATTTGGCATATGGGCTCCATTTGAATTAAATATGGGCTTCCCATATTTACTTGCCCAGGTATTTGGCATATGGGTCCCATTTATATTATATGTGGGCATGCCCATAAGTATTTTCCCAGATATTTGGCACATGGGCCTAATGCGAAATAAATATGGGCATACCCATGTCCAACTACCCAGGTCTTTGGCATGTGGGCCCCATGTAGATAAATATGGGCATGCCCATATGTATTTTCCATGATATTTGGCACATGGGCCCCATGCGAATTAAATGTGGGCATTTCCATATTTATCTACCCAGGTATTACCATAAGGGACCCATGTACTTTAAATATAGGCATTCCCATATATATTTGCCTATTTATTTGGTATAATAATTGGCTCCATATGGGTAAAACATGGGCAAGGCCCATATTTGATTGCCCAGACGGGTCCCATAATGGGGAAAATATGGGGTAGCCAATAAGACTTTGCCCAGATATTTTGCATATGGGCCCCATGTGGGTTTGTTACCTGGGGGCCGTTATCGAGTTCCTCCGAAGAGTCTCTGGCTAAAGCTTACGATGACCTCAGCCTTGTAGAGGTCCGTCCTGCAAACCAACCCAGCTAAATTGAGCTGTATGTTCGGGACCTGGATGACTGAGCGAAAAATCACCGCCTCGGGCTCAATAGCAAGTTCTGGTTATGCCGGTATGCTTCTTATAGGCACATAACCCCTATTGAGCTCGAGGTGGTGTCCGAAACAAGGCTTATGTGTCTGATTGTTCAGTCCAATCTTTGATGGAAGTCTCACCTAAATAACATTATTAGTAAAAATCCTGTGACACTCCAGGTATCTCAGATCACGACATGCTGGTTATAGACAACAGGCCCGTATCCAGGGGTTTTTTTTTATGGTTCGGGAGAACCCCCCTTTTCTGCAAACCCCCTCTTTTCTGGCGAAACCCCCTCTTTAAATTTCCCAAATACGTCCTCCAACCCAACTAATGCACTGCAGACCCACCCAGACACAGACATTTTCAAACTTATCTGCTTTTATATCATTATTTAGACCCATAAAGCACAAAAATCCTCTTGCTTTGGAGGTTTCGCCGACCACACCGGGGCTTCGACTGTGGACCTCACACCCAGAAAACCCCCTTAGAAGAACCTGGCTATGGGCCTGGACAACCACTTATCCGACCAATTGGTCGAAATCCAGTTTGCCGAAACCCGGTTTGCCAAGTTTAGGCCACTTTGCAGAAACCCTTTTTGCCTAATCCACTTCACCGAAAAGACAAATCTCAGTTGGCCGAAACCTGGTTTGCCAAACCCAGTTTGCCGAATTTTGCCGTCACCGCCGTCCAAAAGCGCAGCACACTACTATTTAGAACTAAATGTAATAACGGAAATTATTCAAGAGAGAGAGATTTTAAACATAGCAACAGCAAATTAGTCAAAGACAATCAAAAGCTTAAGACATATCTTAAAAATTGGCTCCACTGTGTATATAT